GAGAAGGCCTAGCACACACGCGTTTTCGTGACCTAGCCCACGTTAGCGGTCCGACCCCCCTACTACGACCAAACCCGCTCAACAATCCTAACTTCAGATTTCTGGATCAACGATTGAACCAGGGGCATTTTCACCTCATTTCTCTGCAGATTTGACATATCCCAACTCAAATCTCACACCCAGAGTTTATTACACTTCCACTACTCAAGGAGACATATATTGTCCAAGCTTTTCCAACCCAAATGGCGAACAACACTTGTCTTGACAAGTCATGGAGTTGACAAGCGCCCTCGCGCATCAGATAACCTTGGTGAATTAGCTCTTGCAACTTACCGAGATACAGCGTGCCCCAGATGAGGTGTCCTAAAGTAGGACAATGGCAGATGACAAACCTTTCCAGCAGCGTCCAGGCAAGCATCCATTTAACCAGTCATGAACCGAGCGTTCTAGTAGTGTACACTCCCGACTAGGCCTCCAAGATAGCGTATACTTTCGTCTTAGAGTGCGAAAATGTGTTGTGTCTGTCAAAACTGAAGTAATCATTGTATTTTCCAGTGTATGTGTGATGTTCCTTCTGCTCGATCTTGTCAATGAAAGGTGACTTGTTTATGTTGGTCATGTCATGTCGTAGTGCCTCATTAATGACCTTGTTGCATTGGAAATCGTGCAATTGATAGGTCAAAAACCTCTCTATTTCTTCTTGAATTTGCTTTTGTTAGGGGTAGCGGAGCTCTTGGCTACCCCTAGTCATGACTTGCTGGTCTAGGTTGCTCTTTCATGTGTTCGACTTGTCTATGTCCCAACTGCGGTGCATGTGGTTAGTAGGCGAGTGAATTACTCCCAAACTGCTGGTTGAACTTGAGCCAGATTGAGTGACTGCTTCTCTCCGTCCATCGTGTTGCCTACTCCATTATGAGGTGGAGGATGCTTCTTGCGAGCCTAACTGCGAATGAACACTTCGTCTGGAAAGTTGCTCATGTTAATTATCGGAGTATGGCCTCAATAGTGAATGTATGTTTGTCCATGGGCCTATCTCAAAGGCCCAATCAGGAGTGTACACTGCCAGAACGCTCGGTCTTAATGTGCGGATCAGCATGCACTTTCAGTTAGGCCTACAGACGAGCATACATTCATGGTTGGGGCCACACTCCAATAATCAACATGAGCAACCTTCTAGGTGAAATGTTCATTTGCAGTTAGGCTCGCAAGGAGCATCATCCACTTGACATCGGAGTAGGCAACACGATGGATGAAGATAAGCAATCACTCAATCCGTCTCAAGTTCAACCGACAGCCTGCGAGTAATTTGCTCACTTACTAGGAACGTACCACATGCACCACAACCGCGACATAGACAAGTTGAACACATAGAAGAACAACCTAGACCAGCAGGTTATGATTGGAGGTAGCCGAGAGCTCCGCTACCCCGATAAAGGTAAATTCAAGAAGAAGTAGAAAAGCTTATGAACGAGCGATTGTGCAATTTCCAACGTAACAAGGTCACTGATAAGGCCCTACGACGGGACATAATCAACATAAACAGGTCACATTTCATTGACATGATTGAGTAAACGGAACCATCCCACATACACATGAGGATACAATTATTACTTATGTTCTGACAAACGTAACAACTTAGCCTAATCGGTGCTGAGGGCAGACAAGTACCAGAATGACACATTAACCCAACCACCAAACCCAACCACCAAGAACCAGGGTCATGTCTTATTTTCATCACAACTCCGCGCTCAAAGTTGTTGCGACCTTGTGGCTTTTTGATCTGTCACCATGGCCCCCAACCGTGCCGATCTTGCATCACGACACGACTCCCAATTGTGCCACCTTGTGGCTCCTATCTGCACTGACCAAGCCCACGACACTTCAAACTTCAAAAGCATCCAACAATGGAGCAGAATACGAGGCCTTTCTAGCAGCTTCTTCAAGGGAAAAACTTAGCGGTGGAGAAGCTTTTAATCCATTTAGATTCTCAGCTGACCACTAACCAAGCCTCAGAAGAACACACGATGAAACATCTAAGGATGACGCAATACTTGGAAAAGGTTCGGGAACAACTTACTGTGCTTCTCACTTACACCCTTACGTGGGTTCCACAAGTAGTTCAAAGTCTCAAGCAGATCGTCGAACAAAACCTCACAGGCTAAGGATTATTTCAGTTGTCCAGCTTTCCTCAGCTACATTCACGACAACAACTTCCATGCTCTTCAGTGTGAGAGGGTAAACTAATTCTCCAACATCCATCTCGGTCTACTCTTCAGTGGGAGATGATAAACTAATTGTTCTTCAGTGTGAAAGGGTAAACTAATTCCCCGACACCTATCTGGATCTGCTCTCCAATGCGAGAGGATAAACTAATTGTTCTCTAGTGCGAGAGGGTAAATTAATTCTCCGACAACCATCTGGGTCTGCTCTCCAATACGAGGGGATAAACTAATTACTCTCCAATGCGAGAAGGTAAACTAATTCCTCAACACCCATTTGGGTCTGCTCTCCAGTGCGAGAGGATAAACTAATTGTTTTTCAGAGTGATAGGGTAAACTAATTCATTGACACCCATTTGGATATACTCTCCAGTGTGATAGGGTAAACTAATTCTCCGACTCCCATCTGGGTCTACTTTTCAAGGAAGGGGGAAAACTGCCAATGAATTTCCACACAACTACTTATTTTGATGTGATTCGTTAATGATTTTTATATTCCACAGAGCTTTATCAAATTGTGATGCAAGCCACACAGCTCAAAATATCAAATACTCAAAGACCAACTAAGCAACAAATGGTCAGGGGGCAGCAGCCATTTCGCACTTAATAGTTTGCTCATCCAACATTTCATCTTTAGCAGCTCCGATCTTGGCAGCTCTGTCCTCGATTGCTCCATTTACGATAGCTGAGAAATCAAACTCAAGCAGTTTCCTCAATTTTTGCAAGCAGCACAGATGAGGTAGCCGTGGCTCATGCCACGCCACTTCCACGACCTATGCCAAGCTAGCCCTTGATTCCAGTCAAGTCGAGCAGCACAAGCTATGGTCCTTACCACACCACCTCCTCGGCCCATGCTGAGTCGAGTTCTGGCCCCTGCCAACCGACATATCACACCACCTTGATGGCTGCCCCACAGCAGCACCACCTAAGAAGAAGACAAAGAAAATTAAGTTTTTCTTACATTGGTGTGGCATAGAGAAGACAAAGAAATCAACGGAAAATGGTTCTTTGCACGAGCAAGCGAAGAAGAATGCTATGGGAGGGGAACAAATATCCTCTAGCTTTCTCTCTTTCTTGTAGGGATAAATAATTGCCCTCCGAAGTTGATTTAATCCCTTACTTAAGGTAGGCTTAAATAGGCTTTGGAGGCGATTTATTCCCCTTTCCTAGAAGAATATAATTCCAAGTCCAAGTGGGAATCTGCATCAAAGTTGGAGATCTCTACACCTGCTGTCATTTCCTATGAGCAGCCCAGCATGTGTGGGGGCATTTGTGGAGCTAAAAATAATCAAAAAAATTATGGAAGTGACACGTAGACTTTTGGGTTAAAAAGACAAAATGACCCTCGAGACACACCAAGATTCCCACACTTATGCAACGGATAATAACGGCTCAATTAAGGAAGAGTCAAAGGTGATCAAAATAGTATTTATTCAAATCTCTCTAATGACTCCTCATCAAATCCTTTTTCAAAAGGTAACTCCCAAAATCCTATTTAATTTGGGATTAATTACCATGTTAAATGCAAGATATTATTTCACATAATATCTTGCAATTATTCTCCAATTACACCATATATGGCCGACCACTATTCTCCAAGTAGGGCTGGCCACTTCCCTATAAATAGCCCTATTATCCCACTAAAAAGCTAAGCCATTTGCTACCCACAAACTCCTAAACACATTCTTTTCAGAATTCTAACTTTGGCATAAGAGATTCTTCGGCCAAAGCCCCCTATTCATCATGGGTGCGTGAGGGGTTTGACCTTAATCTTAGGTGGTATTATTTTGCAGGTGCATTTTGTTAAAGGAGAAGATGACGGAAATTTGCATCCACAGAATTCGTCGAATAATTTATAACCTAATTTGTTTTTCGAAGTATAAAAAGCTCTTAGGAAGATTAAAGAAAGAATTTGTTCTTCTTCCGTAAAGAATTCGTCCAATAATTTATAACCTAATCTTCTTCTGGAAACCCTAGCTATTCTAGCATGATATTGGGGAATCTCATTGCTATTACTCACACAAGCATGAAATGTATGCTTGCTTATTCGTCCATATAGCAATTGGATATGTAATTATTGGAGACTCAAATGGTGGATAAGCAAGCATCTGTTTTATATCTCGCCATGAATTTAGAAACTTTTGCTTGCTTTCTAGCATTTGGTCTACATATCGGAAATGATAACATTCGAGATTATGTAGGATTATACACAAAAGATATTTTTTTGGCTCTCTCATTAGCCTTATGTCTCTTATCCTTACGAGGTCTTCCTCCACTCTCATTTTCGAAACGGTGGAGATGATATTTTTTTGGGTCGGGGACAATTCAACCCAATTGCCGTTGCAATTGGGGTACTGGAATAGTGCTCTTACACTATGTTTGGATAAAGAAACTTGAGATTACTAAGGAATTTTAAAATGACGGAAATTGAAACGAAAAGATTTTATTTTCAAGAATATGTAAATTTTCTTGTTTGGTTAATCTAAAAGAACAATGGAATTGAATATTGAATTTGTTATTTTTAAACTCTAAATCATAGAAATTGAGAAATGACATCTATTTACATGGAATTTGAACTTGGGAATTGGAGGTCCTAAATTCCAAGTTTTTTTTCCATGCAGAAACTCTAAATTTTTATATTTATAAATCTAAACAAGAGAATTAATGCATGTTAATTTATAAATTCAGACTTTTACCAAAATTCAAGTTATTTTCCTGGTGCAAACATAGTGTTACTGTAGTAACTTAAACTAAAGAGTAAAGATAATAGCGCGCGCTGTCTATCTCTCACGCTTCATTTCCTCATCCAAAACCTGATAAACCTCCGAACCTGCAAAACCTGAAAACGCCAACAGCCATGAGAGCAACCGCTCTCTTCCTCTCCCCACCACCACTACTCTCCACACCTACCCCTCTCCTCCTCCTCCACTCACTGCACCCACTCCCCTTCCGCTCCCTCAAACCCAATCCCCTCCGCAAACACCCCCTTACGCTATCCCCCTCCCCAACCACCCCCTCCTTCCTCGTCCGCGCCGACGACGGCGACGGCGACAGCGCAGGCCCCGACGACTACGACATGGACGACGAAGAGCTCGAGGAAGTCGACAACAAGAAGGACTTCGACATTCAGTACGATACCCTAGCTGCCGCTGCAGCTGCCGCCGCCGCCGCCGCCAATGGCGAAGAGGACATCGCCATGGTGCAGAGCAAGAGCTTCGTGTTCACGCAAGGTTGGGACTCGGAGATGGTGGTGGATTATCGGATTAACGAAGACGAATTTCACAAGATTAGCTTGCTGGACTGCGATTTCTTCATCAGAAAACCTCCCGATCCCGATAATGACGTCTATGACTTCAGAGAGGTATGCATTTGATCTATTTTTACATATTTTAGTTAGGAAATTTAAATTTAATTAGAAAACTTAATTTATATATTTAAATGTTGTGTAGATGTATGTTACTCCTCCGGACACAGATGTTTATGCGATTCCCAGGGTTCTTGCTCCAATGCCTCAGAAGGTAATCCACAATCTACACTGAATTTTGATTTGTTAAAGCTAATTCGACATTTGTTTGATAATTCATTGCTTGTTTTGGATATCGTAGTACATTCGATGTGCGAAGAGTGACTTTAGCTGCTACAATGTAACGGAACCACCCATTGATGCTCCTAGAGATCCATTGTACAAGTCTGAACGGGACGTGTTGAAGGTATGATCGATTTTGAGCTATGAATTTGGTTTCATTTTGAGCAATTATGTAATGGGTAGGATTGCGGCGATGGAGACAATTGCAATTTGATTGGGTGAAAATGGTTCAAGATATAGCATTAGCAATTAGCATTACAACCATATGTACCGTTCTTCTTTATCGTTGGCAGTTCTTTATGCGAATGGATGGTGTTCGTATATTTCGTCCTTTTTTATGTATGAATGTCTCGTTTTAGAAATAGCATTATTCATGAGGCTGCTTCTGTTTCAGGTTTACTTGACAAAGCACTACAGGAACCGGAGGTTGGGGGACCCTGATTTTTTGCTGGATTTTGAGGAGATTTATGTAATTGACTCCAAAACAAAGTCCATTAGCAGAGCTAAAGTTTTGGTGAGAGTTTTACTTTTTCTGTTTCGCTTTCCTAATGTGTCCTTGAGATTCTTCTTATACTGTATAATGCATATGGTATCACTGTCTGTTCCTGCCTTGTATATTTTTAGAAAGCCTTTTTAGCTCAGATGAATCATATAGCATTGACACTCTCTATGTGAGTTTGCTAAGAAATTGACAGCAATAGCCAATAATGCTTGTGCTAATTATGTGTATTTCCTTAACGGGAGTTAACTTATTAAAGAATACTGGCCAAAATTTAACCCGCTGTGGATTTCTGGGGAACACGATTACACAGTATTAGTTTTTGAATCCCATTTCTCACGTTCTGTGTCTTGACCTCGACTAAACTAAGTGGGATGTATCATTAAGATAGAAAGTAATATTATGCGAATGTCTGTTGTGTTCCTTTCAAGTGCAAAAATAAGGATAGTATAGTGGTACAAGTAAGGGTGTCGAACCACAAGGACTGATTAGATCTCTACAAATTACTAGCTTTATGTGAATCCTAACTAAATAATGTAACAAATTGAGTTTTGATTTTGATTTGAGAAGTAAAGTAACTTAAAATGCAAGAGAATGTAAATATAAATAATAGAATGATTAAGAAACAATAGGAATGGAACTAGGGATACCGATTTCACCCTATATGTTCGTAATCATCCATTTGATGTGTAGTTGTGATCAAGTACTCCTAATCTACAATCTAGTTGTGATGTTCAAATTAGATTAGCAAGTAAGAATCCATTAAGAACAAGAAAACTTCAAAGAACCAAAGAAATCATATGGCATGATGTATGCATAGCAGTTTCTTCATTCATTCACATGTCTACCAAGATTAAGCATGATGTGTACTATAATCTTGATCAAATAATCTGTAAGAAACCCTAATGGTGATCAAACATTAAGATAAACAAACAAATTAAACTATAAAATCAGTGAATGAAACAAGAAAACAGATTGATGAATCGAATACTTTAACTTAATAACATAGAATAGTTTTGCAAGGCTACATCGAAATCCCCAGCTATGAACTTAATTACACAATATAATTACAGAATATATAAATATCAAGAACAACATGAGTGAAATTAAATTCATAGAAGAAACCCCCTTGAAGCAATTCTGATGTTGAACTTCTCCAAGAACAATGCGGCTGCGTGGTTTATTCATTGGCAGTGGATGGCGAAGGGAAATACGGTTTTGTTTTTGGAAGAAAGCCCAAAAAAAGAGGAGAGAGAGCTCTGGGTGACCCCCAAGGGGGGCTTGTGTAAAAGTGATCTGAAACCCTTGTATTTATATGCTAAATGGGGCTGTAGCTGATTGCAAGGTGATCCCAACCATTAAGCCAAAGTTTTGAACGTTTTTCCTTATTTGGCTCCTCCAAATCAGGCTAGATATTTCAATTCCTTTCCCATTCTGCTCCTGGTCTTCTAACAAGCCAGATTCGTCTTGGATTCTTTATTTGGGCTTCAAAATAGGCCACTAAACTTCTCTCCACGTTTGAATAGGGTCAGCTACAAAAATGGCATGTTTTCACTTCTTTTGCCTTCAGATTGATCATAAAGTAAATGAACTGCACATTAACACAAATAAGGTAAAATGCAGCCAGTTTAACTCAAAAACATCACAAAGAAACTAGAAATGGATGGTATAAATGCATGAAATATATGAGTTATCAATGTCTCTTTGAAAGTTTTGACTGTATTTGGTACCAACATCTGGATTATGTAATTTGCTCTTTAAGGTCTGTATGACACTGGCTTTTGTGTAGTATGATGAATCAGTAATAATATCATGATAGAATCTGATTTCTATACGATGCGTTTGCACGTAGAGGTGTCTATCTGCTTTGTGGCATGATATGGTTGCATAATCTTGAATGTTAAGCGTCAGACGTGGAGTTGACATCACTTGTCCATGTATTGTTATGCTTGCGGTCATTCTGACATCATTGGTAAGACATAGAATGAGTAAAAATTCAACGGAATCTTTTATATCTGGAATATTTCCATGAATTCCACTATATCCTTCCCCATTTTCATCGACGTATGATCAGAGATGAACCAAAGTAGACGACAATGGAACCACATTTAGAAAGGGAGCATTGCTCTTTACAACATAAGTAGGACTGCCATAGTTATATATGTGTGTGTCAATCCAACCACTCGATATTCAGTATAAAGTGTTGCTAATTTATGAAGTTTTTCTATTTATTTTGGGGGAATGCCTTGTACAGGTCAGTGTTCTGGGGGGAAGAAGCAGAGATAGAAGACATGATCTGCTTGTAATACGTGATAATGGAAACTCCTTCAGAATAGTTCACGGGGTAACCAACTCAGTCTGATCCAAATTGCTTTCTTTAAATTTATATTTGTTATTCATTATCTGATTCGCTCTTCTCTTGTATCCTTTCAGAGTGAAAAAGATGATCCCACAACAGTGATAGAGAGGGAAGAGTGGAATAAGACCAGACAGGACATGGAGAGGCATCTTAGCAAGCTACGAGATTTCAATGTTTCCAATTGGTTCTAGTTCTTCATACAAGTTTGCAGATAACATCATGAAGGCACATATGCAACAAAACTCAGACTCCCATTGTGTCACTATGTGCGAATACATCAGAGTTCGACTTTCAAGATACACTAGCTATCCGGATTAGCTTAAGTCGAGTCAATGCTCAATATCAGAAGGTCCTCGTTGCTGATGTTATGGCGAGCATATTGTGCTTTCGTTTTTGCGAAGTATTGAGCTGATATTGAATATCGAAGTTCCTTGATGGTTATGTGGGTAAGGCACTTTGTGTTCAGCTTCCATTTTGCCAAATATGTGTAGGAACTTAGGAGCTTGATCTCTAGTTTGTAGAATGTTGAAATTTTTGTAACGGTAGAATACTTTTTGATCCCAAGCCTTTGCTCCGATTCTCATTTTAGTCACCGTGTTTTCAATTTGGCCAATTTGGTGGCATTTTGATATGGTCATATATGTTTAACTTTTAAGTTAGCCGTTAATGTGCACACGCGGCACATGTAAAGACTCACGTAGAGTTGATTAAGATTGTTAACGGGGTTAAATACAACGCCAAATTAATCAAATTCAAAACACATGATCGAAATTAAATTTCTAGCAAAACACAGACCAACATGATGTTTTCAATTTTTTTTTTTTTTTTTTGAACAAACGGGGGAGGTGGGGTTGGATTTAGTCTCACAATGAGCTAGTAATAATGTGGTTCAAATTCGCATTAGGCGATATCGAACCTAAGACCAACATGATGGTTACTCTTTAAAAAAGAGTTAAGCAAAAGGTAAGACCAACATGATGTTTACTCTTTAAAAAAGAGTTAAGGAAATGGTTTGTTTAGGATGGTGATTTCCTATCTTGTTTTTGTAAACCAACGCCATCTCCAACCGTAAGGGCTAATTATAACCCCGTCCAGAATTATAGGCCCTGTAAAAAATTATTTTTGAATGAACAGTGTCAGGTCATACTTATATACCATCTCTAACTGAATGGGTTAAATATAATCAACTCAATAATTAATTAGTTTTAGGTTTGTACTTTAAATTATTGGTTAATTTAATTAAATTACCGTTGAGTATTTTCAAATTTAATCATTGAACTAGCAAAAAAAACCTACGCTCCGCTGCGGGGACTTTTAGAAGTATCATCTTATATCATCTGATTTCTTTTGCTATTCCTAGTTCTTTTTGGCATCATGTGCAAAACCAAATTGATAGCTAGGAAGAAAAAAATGAAAACACGATGCCCAAATAATTATATAATCTGTAGATTGAGTGTGAATTCAGAGCATGAAGGGGAAGTGAGTTCCTTGGTTCCCACATTGTAGAGATTAAATCTCAAAACTTTGCCCAGCATTACAGGAAACCATGGAAAGACTAAAAATGACCACAAAGATTGCAAAACAATTAACCACAGGTGGTGTTTATATGCCCACTGAGAGAAAAAAGCTTCTGCAAGTGAAAAAAATGTATTTATATAAAACAGGCCTGTACCATCTGAAAAAAACATAAACAAGTATGAATATTAAGTGAACCAAAAGCAGAACAAAGCGCTAAAAGTGCTTAAGTTCATGTGGGTTTTCTAGTATTTTATCAATAATATCAGATCAAAAAAACCCTTAATGCAAATCCAAAATAACACAAACAAATCTCAAAGCATTTCTCAAAAGGATATATTACAATCAAAGAAAGTGAAAACCCTAATAGATTACGTTAGAGAATAAATTACCTTGTAGAGAAGCCCGTTTTTTGGGAGCAGTTTAGTCACATGTATGTACCAACATTGAAAACAAACAAAAAGTTTATAAAAAAAATAAGAAAAATTGAAAGAAAACGAACCAGAAAGGAGCATACCTGAACTCGTAGATATCATCGAAGTACTTGTCGGAGTACTGGATTTGACCTTGCTATTTAATCCCAAACCACGATTTTAAGCAAATTCTCAAATAGGGTTTTTTTTTTTTTTTTTTTTCAAATTTCTTAGTTTAATCTGCAAAATAAAGACGAAAAGCACTAATATACACAAAAGTTGGAAAACATTGTACCTTTTTATTGACCAGAAAGGTTGATTTCAGAGTATCGAGCCTGTAGAAAAATTGGAACTACATGAGTAGAGGCTACAGGGGAGAAAACTGGGGAAAACAAAAGCATGAGGGAATGTGAATATATTGTGTAAAATTAATTAAAAATTCAGAATTTAACTAATACATAGAATCACATAGCTCAAAATATTCATTGCTGAACTGTTCTTTTCTCAGTAATTTTTTCAGACTAAGTGACACCAAATGTTTGGATATGAATCTTGTTCCTTTGTGCCTCTTTCTGTAATTAAAATTGAATTATGTAGTTAAGTGTTGTTAGAGTTTATATAAGTGTGAAAAATGAACTTCTTTGCAAGATAATAGAAAAATTTATGATGAAAATTTATAAATAGCATTCAAAATTATATAGGGGAAAGAAATTTTAACATCAAATAAGTGTAGAACATACCTAGCTTCCTTGTAAAATTATATCTGTAGAGGTCAAGGCTCAAATTCCCTTGTAGCTGCCTTGATTTGATAAGTCCTTATTTAAGCAGACTTAAAAAATGGTATTCAAAAATAGAAACAACATTGATAACAAATAAGTTTGAAAATGTTTACAGATAAAAGCTTGAATTTTGTGAAATTAGGGTTAAACATGAGAGTTTTTAACTGCATTATAGTAGTTACAACTATGTTTGGATCAGCACCATCATAATTACATACAAAAATGAGCAGCTACTTTTAGTTAGAGATACAAAAAATATAACAGCTATATATGCTGCTGTAAGAGTTCCACATGTCCTAAAAACTAACCTAGCTTGTGACAGTCCGTCCCGAAATATATCCTCGATAGTGTGAAATTCCTATCTTACCCTTGGACGTTGTGTGGTGTGATGAATTTAGATTGTGGACCAATTCAATTTTTTCCTAAATTCTTGGACCCAATTAGAACTTAGGTTTTATTTTTCTTTTGTTTTGTTTGGTGACCAACTAGGGCCACACACACACACCACTCCCGTTGACTCTCTCTCTCCTCCCTCTCGGGTTTTCTTCATTTTCCGTACAATTGTATGGTCAACTGGTGAACCAACCATTTCATGCACGGATCGAGGTTGTGAAGGTGATATTCATGTTCATTGCGAGCACAGGAACTCATTTATACCTTTAGTTGGACGTGAAGACTTCGAAAACTCGGGAACCAGGAAACCCCAATGTGGTGTATAGTGACTCCGTTGTGATCGCGGAGGTTTCGTTGAATTTTAAGGTTCTAGTGAGCCTTAGGACTGCTTCACGAAGCTTAGGGAAGGATTTTGAAAGGTTTTGGACGTCAGGAGGCTCAGTTTTGGCGAGTTGCAGAGGTGGCCGGATTATCAAGATTTTTCCGGTGAGAGTTCGTGAGTTTTAGGGCATAAAAGTGGTAAGGATGTGTTCCTTTCATCCTAAGCTTCATTTTGGTCTAAATTTCGTGAAGTTTGGTGTTGAAATGAGTGAGATATGACGATTAGAAGTTTTTCTAGAAACTGGCAATTGTAGAGGTCACCGGCGCCGGACTCCAGCGAGCTGAGGTTGAAGGAAGGAAATATTCCTTCAAAATTGACGCAATATGCTAATGGCGTCAGGTATATTTAACTGCATATTCTATTATTTAACGGAATATTTCCTAACGCCGTTAAGGATTCCGTTTGGTGTGCTAGGCACGTGCTTGCGTGTGGCCTTGCCTTGGCCGGCGCATGAGGGCGCGTGGGTCATCGGAAAATTTTTCTAAAAATATGGGGATGTTCGTGGGGTTGAGTAGATCACGTTGGTATATTCAAACACTCCAATTGAGCAATGTATGAGAATTTATTACCTAGTTTTGAGTATGTGCTTAAAATAACATTAAAATAGTTGTTTCGCATAGGTGAGACGTTTCCAGAGGACGAGCGCAGTCAAGCGAGACTCGGGGGCTACGACCCTTTTACATATCAGTGAGTAGGTCTTTTCCTTTCTATCGTATATATATACATATGATTGATAATTTCACAAACGTGTTTAAGTTGATTTATGCATATTACCTACATATAATTACTGTGAATGCTTTGAAGTACTAGTGCGAACTACGAATGGCTTGATCCATGTTTATGGTACTTAGGCAGTCTAACGAGATGTTAGATGCAGCCATACAATAATTGAGACAATAGCCTTGTTTGGGGAATTGAGCAATGTGAGGGACATTGGTGGAAAATGTGAGATTTAACCTTATGATTTGGTGGTTAAATGTTGGTCATAAATCAATGTGTGAAGAATCAAGAAATTGAAGTAAGGAAATGTAAGTAATGATAGTTAATTAAACTAATGTCTAATTGGGCTTATCAGTGATAATTATGCTGAAAATAAATAACTTGTGAGTAAGGCGTTACAACTTATGCATTTTATTCCATATTATATATATGTATATATTTGGAAATACTATGATATGGTTGAGTTTTAGATTGCATCATGGCATATCCATATGCACATTACCTACACATAATCATTGTGAATGCATTGAAGTGCGAAGGTGATGGCAGGACGCACAGGTAAGTTCAGGTAAGTTTATGGTATTAGTTGAAATGATTGAGTTATCGTATGACTACATATATGTTTTAAGCAACTCCGATATTGTCGTACATGTTGCAATAATAGGCAACTCCGACCTTGTCATATAGGTTGCAATAATAGGCAACTCCGACACTATCGTACAGGTTACCCATGAGTCGTATATGTTATATTAAATACAGTTAGAGCTCATAAACTTGCACCCTGGTGTTGGTGCTCTCCCCCGTGGCCAGGACACAGTCCTTCATGTAATGTTCACCTCCCTCACCTTACGCTCACCTTGGATCCAAGGTAGGTGCATAGTCTTGTCGTACAGACCACTATAGGTGGTTTCGACTCGTAGGTGACCTGCGATTATTCGCAGTCTTCACGTGATCGTAGCACTTGAGTGGATTTATTTACACTCAGTCTTGTCGTACAGACCACTAGAGGTGGTTCCGACTCATGTGCAGGGATATGTGATGAGTTATGGGTTCAGCCGTACAGGCCACAAGAGGTGGATCCGGCTGTCATATTACTTGGATATGTGATGAGTTATGGGTTTAGCCGTACAGGCCACAAAAGGTGGATCCGGCTGACATATTACTTGAACATTGGATGAACTAGGTTCAGTCGTACATACCACAATAGGTGGATCTGGCTGACATATTACTTTTCATGGATTTATTTCACTTGGGTTACTTATTTCATTATGTTGAGATAGTGGGCATGGCATACATGTGGATTCTGCTATTCCAGGTATATCGATATGTAATATTTTTTTTTTTGAGAAATTATTCCGGTTTTATGGTGAAGGGTTATTACTTTGATAAATGAAATGGTTTGTAAGAGCTTATTTTCGCCCACTCACATTTTTCTGTTTTGCACCCCTCCAGGTTCTAGTAGTAAAGTTTCCGTATCAACGAGGATTCGTGGCACTTCTCAGTACATGTGGCTTCTTAATGAGGGTATAATCATTATCTTACCTTGCTATACTTTACTTATGCTCGGTATCACGTGAATGGGTCCATACCAGCTTATCGCGCACTCGTATATTGAGGCACTTTAAGGTTTAAATTTATTCATAGTTTACGCATTATCACGCTTTATGGCTTTGTCAACTTCTAGGTGTCGGCCAGCACAGCTCAATTCGGAGTCCTAGTGGACATTCCGGGTCGAGGTGTGGCACAACTTCTGTACACAAAAAAATGACAAATGCTGGTACATGGAGGTTGAGGAAATATTGTCAAATTTTAAGTACAAACAAATATTTATAAATTGCTGAATATGTTAGATGTTGTTGAAGATATGCCAACCAAAAAATGAAAAATATTCTTCAACAAAGCATGAAAAGTGTTGTTGCAGCAGTTTCATGATTGTTAACATTGACAAACGAACCTGTACAGCCAGAAAAAGAAAGAAAAACATTTAAATAGTGGTTACAGTCAAAGTGAAAGACATGTGTATAAAAAAATTGACAAAAAAATGAAAACATACTTACTTAGTCTTTTCTTGAAAAGATGGTATTTGTTTTTGTGAGAGTAGGAGGCAATTTTTTTTTGAGTGATTTGAGAGGGATTTCATCCAATTCTTTTGGGTCAATTTCTGAAACCTCTTCTACTTCACTGCTTTAAATGTGTATACTAAATGAGTACATTCGATTGAAGAAAAAAGAGAAAATGTTGCATAAACATAAATAATTACATTGTTCATTTGGAAAATTTATGTTAAAAAAAAATGTCTAACATGTTTTTTTTAAGCAAAGCAAGATAAGTAGAAGATATCAATTTTTGAATACAAAGAAGAAAAACAAAAACATCAGATTTGATGATAACATGCAGGTTGAATGCAAACCTTTGTCCAGTGCCAGTAAAGAGTGCTCTTCTCATAGATTCCCACTTTTGTTTATGTGATTGATTGATTGCTTGAGTTGGTGAGGTTGAAGATGATACAATGGTCGAGGATATTGTGCTTTCTGTTTGTAACACTTGCGAAGTTATTGGTTGAATAGCTTCATCATTAGAGACTTTAAAAATTAGGAGATCACTTGAGTTAAAAGTGTTCTGACGATTTCCAAATCGCAAGTGAAAGATCTTCTTTTGACCAATCAATTTCAAAAACTCAATTGGCAACTATTTTTGGTCAATTAGTCTGGTTCATGACTAAATCTTTGCTAGACATGCCAAACAACTTTTCTCCAGACCTGCATTTAAAAATTGAATTGCATCAGTTTTTCATGCTTTATAAGTTATGAGTGACAAATAGAATAATAAATTTGAAACAATAGAGATTAGATATCTTGACCAATTTTTTTATTTGTAAAGGAAGGACACAACGGCAAAAATGCAACACGTTTGAATATTAAGTATTACCAAGGTGTTGGTATCTGGTTGGGGTGTTTCTGACAAATGAGTTGTCTAGTTGTTGGATCTTTTTGCATTTGTTTGACACAATTGGGGTAGACACTATACCACCAATTATATCGTGTGTCAAAACGTTTGATTGATGCGTTACACAGGAATGTATCATTCTGTAAAATGTTTTGTAACACATATTAACCAAAAAAAGTAAGAAGAAATTTAGTTTTTGTTAAATATGTAATAATATAAATGGTTCTTGTTAAAAAAGAAAAGAAAAGAAAAAAAAAAGCAGCACGTAAATTGTTTTTATACCTTATATAGATCAGGATCTAGAAAAGCCAGCTCATCTATTGTCACACTTCTTCCGGTACATAAAACTTCAGCTTTATTCATTTGTCTTGAAGAAGGTGGCAGCAATTGTACAGGACCCTTCAAGGCTGAGAAGTTGCAAGTTTAAAAAGACAATAACCAATTTTAAAAAATAAGTTTCTTTCTAGATAGAAATAGGAAACATAATCATTGATGTTCACTCACGTTGATTTGTATGAGTTAACCTTTGGGATGTTCGGGTCAATGAAAAAAAGTGAGGAACTGGTACTACTCAAAAAGACTTTATCTCTACATCCCAAAAAGAATAACAAATTATAAAACAAACATCAGTAAATATTAGAGATGAGCAAATATTTTCAATTTAATAATAGATGTTTAAAAATGCCAAAAAAATTATAATCAATAGCTTCTAAAGCGTAAAAATAATTTGAACATGGATGGCTAAAAACGAAACACAAATCATAGTTAATATATTCACATGCTTGATAGCTGACATATAAGATATAAAACCAATGCTTTATCATAAAGGATAGGAACATAATACACTAAAATTATATAATGATAGAATATTGGAATATTGTAATAAGACAATATAACAAAAATTAAAAAAAATGGGTTTCAATTAAATCAATTACCTAGATAAACCTTCACTTTTAAACTTGTAAATACAATGATAATGGGCAAGAACATTGTGTGCACCAATAAAGAAGCAAAAACCTTTGCGACATCTTCCCACAATGTAACAAACACTTCTTTTCTGTATAGAAAAGAAATGAAAAACAAAGATGATTTTTTTTTTTTGTTGATTGTAATAAATGAAATGTTGTTAACAATGTAGAAGTGGAGTATTGAGACAAAAGAATAACCAAATATTCTCAATGAGTGCATCACACTTTTGGACTATTCTTTGATTAATTTGTTTTGGTTCCAAGTGCTGAACCACAGTAAGATCACCAATTACATCTTACAATTTAAAAAGTTAAGACAAAAACTATATTAGAACTTATTTGATTAAAAAAAATAATAATAAGAACATAAATGTTTTCAATTCATGGGCACATAGATACACATGTTGACAAATAGATATATACGTTATAGTATTACCTGTGAGAATATCATTTCTGTTCAAACGCATATAAAGCATGTTAATCTTGAAGAAAAAATCGATGTCGTCGAATTGGTGGAAAGACGGCAGATAGTTTTACAAAACTGTTTTATTGGTGAATATAAGCTGTGTATCATGTGGCACAACTTTATACTGCCCTCTGACCTTGATCGTTCGAAAATTCATGATTTCATAGCAATCACCAGCTTGAGTCTTTGAGGCAACAACCTCATAATCAATATTTGACGCATAAGCTTCAACCGCATTGTTCTTCACATTTGGTCGCATCTAGGAAAAAAACACAAAAAAACAGAATTAAAAAGGTTATTAAAAAGAAAAAATTATATATATATACACACACACTGCAATTTGATAAAAAGAGATTAAATGGACAGAATCAGTAAATAGATTCATTTAAAATAAGTAAATCATCTAAAAAAACATTTAAAAACTATTTACAAATAGATAAGAATGAAACAAAAAAGAAAAATCATAAAAACATAAATATAAATCAACAAATAAATGAACGAAAAGAAAACCAATGACATAAATATTGATGTTAAAATTCTTAATTAAAATTATAAGACAATGATCACGTACTGTTTGCATCAACTAAGATACAGTGGAATGTCACATATTTTTTATCACTTGTAGGAATGCTTGATTTCCATATCCTACACACACTAATCTTTCTTTTCTCTGCTTTAGTGTACGGACGTAATTCAGCAATAGGAGTAGGCTTCACAGTTTCCATTTAAGCTGGTGAAAGAGAATATAATTTTACAAAGTTAAGAATCATCATAAGACAAATTTGAAAACAACTGCAAAAGAAAAGACGAATTTATTTAAAAATAAGAATAAAATGTTAATTCGCTTATCTAACAGAAAAGTTACCATTTAAATACAGTTTGAGCCTTCGTCAATATACCGATTATATCCATGAACTAAACTAATTGATCATCATTGTAAAGGAGCAGTGAATATTTGTTCAATGTATGTGTCTCGATATACAGACTAATCCAAATTTAAGACATCTAGGAAATATTTGAGCTTTAGTTGATTAACGACAAAACAGAAGCTCAAAAATAGGATTTGAACTTAGGTTTGAGTTCATATTTGAACTCAGGTATGAAAAAAATCATACCTTTTTTTTAGCAGAAGATATAAATAATATATTTCAGGGTATGATAAGCGCTAAATGCCTGTCGTAACAAAAAAAATAAGCAATGTTTTTGTAGCTATATTTCAGGGTAATCTAAAAATGTTTCCTCTTAGATATGAATAGTATATTGAGTGGAGTTGAAAAATGGGTAGGTACTGCAGGTATATCAAGCTAACCACTAAGTTAAAATGTGAGAATCACTAATATGTTCTTTTCAATTCTTCCGACGCTTCTCATACTGCTTAAAAAAGTGCAGTTAAAAACATGTAAAATCATTATTACAAAAAACATGTGTTTAGTCAAACACCTGGTCTCCCTCTAGTAGGTAAGTTCGGCCAAAAATTGAAAACATCCGCCATAATCTAACAAAGAATCTCAAACTGATATTGTTACCAAATGTCCAGAAAATTAATCTAAGTAGAGTTTATCTGAAGAACCCTACTACAATCTCATCTTTAAACACTTTGTAAATAGATAACTGAATCTTGGAGCAATTCCTTTTAGGAAATAACAGATCTTTTCTTTCATGCAACATTTGGCCGCTGAGAAATTGAATAAAATAACAAAATATGGTTGAGTGACAACAAATCGTCTTGACTTAGACCTAGTTTGGGAGTGAGGTGCTTAAAAAAAAAGCACCCATGAAAAAAAGCTGTGAGGGTTTTAGGTGTTTGGTAAACTGAAAAAAGGGCTTATTTTGGAAGCTGCTGTGAGAATAAGCTGAAATCAAAGGAAAAAGTTGAAGTTGCTATTTGCAGCTTTGGAAAACTGGTTTTTTTTCAAAGCACACGGAGCTACAGTGCTTCTTTAATGAAAAGACCCACTATTAGACTGCTTTTTTTTCCAAAAGCACTTTTACAAAAAAGTTTACCAAACACTCTGCTGAGTTATTTCACAGCCGCTTATTCTCACAGCACAGCCGCTTATTCTCACAGCAGCTTTTTTTCAAAGCACAGCAATACCAAACCAGCCCTTTGTCAAATCAATGAATTCAAGCTTTCAAATTATAACAAAAAGAAGCAAAATCTTAACATACAGGAAACTCAGATTACCTTTTTTTTTACTTCATTCATCTATTAGGAAACTAACAACCAAATTCAAGTTTAAAGCACACAGAATTACTCAAACTCAAACTGATCCACTTACCTCGCCGAAAGAGTGAACCCACTTCGGAATTCGACCGAAACCCTTCGATCGATCGTTGAATACCCTAAAAATGTGGTTAGAGACTCAGAGCTTAGCCAAAAGTTAAAGGCAAAAAGCCTAATAATTTGAGAGACTGTGAGGAGGAAGATATATTCCTTGCAGAAAAAGTGGTGGCCGCTGCTGTTGAAACTAAAATCATTTTGTAAGATGCTGAGAAGAAAAAAAGGGAAGAATAGGGTTTTACCTGAGGACTCGAGCTGGGCTTTGAGAGAAAAACAGCGATGGAAGAGATCAAATAGTAAACCTTGAAAAGCAACAGGGAGCCAAAATGATCCCCCAACATTAGTAAATTAACAATAAAAATCTAAACCCATATAAATTCACAGGAAAATCAAAACACTCGAAAAAAATAATTGGATCACAACTGGTCAGGTACAAAAGGATAAATTAGAAATCCAAAAGAAAAAAAAATTCATAAACAAACTAAAACTTCAAATCGGTGAAGACCGTACCTTGAAAAGGGTATACACACAAAGCTCTTCGAGACTGATCCCAATTCCGACGTCAGAGACTAAAATAGACTCCAATTATAAAGGTTTTGTAGCAACGATCGTACAAATCACCATGTAAGTTTGTAGACATCGAAATTTCAATGAAATAAATGTTGACCAATAATTAAAATTTTAGCGTTCACGTATCACATAAATTTTACACGTAGTGTATGACTTAACAAAAAATTGAAAATCATCGGAAAAGTCATCAAATATGACACGTGTCAACACCTGGCAGAAATGATTTATTTCATCTGATTATTTAAATCCAAAAATCAAGTTTTGGAATTCTATAAATAGGAAGCCAAGGCATTCATTTTCATTCACCAACTCACATCACACCAAAACCTTGAGGCTTTGAAACTCTAAAGCTCCCCAGCAAATCCTGAAGGATCAAGAAAGCTCTCTTTGTTCTTCGTCAAATCCTCCTTCAAGATCAAGCCCCAACGGCCCTTGAAGAACTTCCACCAAATCCTCCTTCAAGATCAAGCCCCAACGACCCTTGAAGAACTTCCACCAATTCAAGATCAAGCCCTGATGGCCCCTTGAAAAAAGCTTTCATTGTTCATCACCCGTTCATCCTAAGATCAAGCCTCGAAGGCCTTTGGATCAACAGTACAATCCACAAATCTACACATTACGAAGATCGAATCAGAGGCTAAATTTGTAGAAGAGATTGTAACCCCCAAATCATTAATACAAATATTATTTTGTACACGTGTTCTTGTCTCGTTTCATTGCAGGAATATTCGTGTTTACAAATTTGGCACACCCGGTGGGACATCTCTACCTCTCATCTCTATCTTCAAATCCGTAAAAAAAAAAAAAACACAAATGGCATCAAGAAAGAATCAAGCTGTTTTTGCAACCAAAGCGAAGAATAAGAACATCCTTGTCACAAGCGGTGACACGTTGGGCATCACAACCCGAAGAAAGGTAAGAGCTCTCTCTACCGTGGCTTCCACCCTTGCATTAACTCTGCCAAAGGAACAAGAGCACCTAAGGCACAAGCCAGTGATCACCTTGGCCTTCCTAAGGGCGCCAAGAGAGGAAAGCCCAAGGAAGCACTTAGAGTCCTTACTTTCTGATGCCGACTCAAGCAGCAGCTCAGCCATACAAGTCATGACCACATGGGTAATATCAATTGAGGAGTAGTTAGCTCAAATGAATGAAGTGATCACAAAACTCACACAGACTGTGAAGGAGAAAGACTTGAAAATCGCTGCACTCGCCAACCAACTGGAGGCGCATCACGACGTGAAAGTCAACCTAAAGGTTGATCCACTAAAGAAAAAAGCCAACGAAGAAGAGGGAGCTTCCGGTGGAGAAAGTTAGAGAAAAGCCAGAGTTGGACCAAGCAGCGGCGCTCATGGGATCTCTCTTTATCCAGCAGCTGCAGGAGATGATCGCCAACACTATCAAGGCGTAGTACGAAGGGAACTCACATAACTCCGGGCTGTACTCAAAGCCCTACTCCAAGAAGATTGATTCTTTGAAGACGTCGAGGGGTTATCAGTCGCCAAAATTCATGCAGTTCAATGGAAAGGGAAACCTAAAGCAACATGTCGCACATTTCATTGAAACCTGCAATAATGCTGGGACTGAGGAAGACTACCTTGTCAAGTAGTTCGTGCGCTCGCTGAAAGGTAACACATTTGATTGGTACACTGACCTTGTGCCCGAATCTATCAATAGTTGGGATCAGCTAGAAAAGGAATTCCTCAACCGCTTCTATAGTACGCGCCACACGGTAAGCATGCTGGAGTTGACCAGTACGAAACAGTGGAAGGATGAACCTGTCGTCGATGGCGTTCATTAAGTCTGGATTGCAAAGTTCGGTTTTCTGAAACCTTCACCATTGAGATGTGCGTTCAAGGCATGCACTGGGGGTTACATTACATCCTTCAAGGCATAAAACAAAGAACATTTGAGGAGCTGGCAACTCGTTCCCATGACATGGAGTTGAGTATCGCCAATCATAAGAAGAAGGAGCCAATCACCGACTTCAAGAACGATAAGGTGTTCGCCTCGAATGTAGACAAGACTAGGAAGAAGCCCGCCAATGAAGTTGTCACTATCAACACTACCCTCATTAAAACCTTATCTGCGCCCATCAAGATCTCCTCCAAGAGCAAAGCGAAGGAGATAAAGAGAGATGAGCCTTCTTGCACCCAAGACAGGTACAAAAACACCTTGAGGGAGCTTAAGCAAAAGATGTACCCTTTTCCTGACTCAGATATGGTTGCAATGTTAGACGACTTGCAGGAAAAGAAGGTGATCGAACTGCCCGAATGCAAGCATCTTGAATAGATGAATAGTGTAAACGATCCTAAGTACTGCAAGTACCATCGTATCGTGAGCCATCTTGTTGGCAAATGCTTCATCCTTAAAGAGCTCATCATGAAGCTGGCACAACAAGGATGCATTGAACTTAACATAGAAGACACGGCTGCAACGCACACTACTACGATCATGTTTGGATCATTTGATCCTGTTCCTCTCGAAATGATGCATGACCACTCACATCAATGCTTAAACCACACAGCACCTTCCGCACAACCATCGCTGGGGGCAAGTGACCAAAATGCAGTTACCGACGATGAAGAATGATGGACATTGGTGACCTACAAAAAGACAAGGAAACCAAAACCACAAGCCACAAGGTCAAAGGTGGAACAAGGGAGAAAGCACTGTCACCGCAATAGTAGGAAGCCCAAAAGAAACGTAAAAGTTGCTAAGCTAATGTACGCTAGGGAACCTATGGAGCAAGAGCCACGCATTCCTGTCTCTTTGTACAAGTACTTCCCAAAGGGCTTCTTCCAACAGTGCCCTACCGCTGCATGTTACATGGTCGAAGTAGAAATGGAAGAACCTTCAAAAGGTAAAGCCATCGCATTTAAGGAAGAAACCTTCACACCCAAAGAAAACCTACCGACACACTTTAGCATTGAGGAAGCATTACGATTGTCAAATAAGATGCGAAGAGCACTAGCAGTGGTCTTGGCAAGTCCCGACGACCACGAAGTGCAAGAAAGCAAGGACAAAGACTTGAAACTTCGACCACATGAGTATGCCACTTGTTGTGTTGCCTAAGACACAATCTACTTCACCGACAAAAACTTGCTGCTAGGGTCCAAGCCTCACAACCGTCATCTCTTCGTCTCTGAGTATGTAAGGGAGCATAAAGTCAATTGCTTGCTTGTGGATGGTGGATCGGCCATAAACATCATTCTAAAGTCAAGAATGACCATAATCGACATCAAAGTGGATGAACTATCCCTAAGCTGTCTACTAATCCAAGGTTTTAATCAAGGAGGACAAAGAGCGATGGGCATGATCTGAGTGGAGATGACCATTGGTGAACTCAAATTAAGCACGATATTCCACGTGATTAATGCAAGAACTTCTTACAGCTTGCTCCTAGGAAGGCCTTGGATCCACAAGAATAGAGTAGTGCCATCCACCATCCACCAATGCTTAAAATTCTACCGGGAAAGAGTAAAGGTGATCCATGGTGATACCAAGCCATTCACCGAAGCCGAATCATACTTCGCAGACGCCAAGTTCTACATGGATGAAGACATGGTGCCTGAAGCTTTCCCAAAAAAAAATCAATTCTACGGGCAAAGTAACACCTAAAAAGCAGGAGTGGCAAGCCATGCCCAATAAGCAAGAAGGGCAAGCCGTGCCATGTTCAAGTAAAAACAATGACGAATCTGCTAAACCTGCAACAAGCAAAGGGGGTAGGACGCCTTCAAAAGGACTGAACACTCCCGTCTTCCGATACATCGTGATGTCGAGAAGAAAGAATGGTCAATCTTCGTTCGAAATGGGAGTAAGTAAAACCGACACACAGCTGTAGAAGGATAATGTAAAATTGCTCAAGACGAATGCAGTTTTGCCTTTGACATAGCTAGGCAACGCTAAGGTTGCAAGACCACCTCAAGGCTTCATAAAAGCTTTGTCAAAAGGGGTGGAACCAAGCTTTCTTCCAACTAAGAGGACCGAAGAAGGTTTTGATGACAACAACAAAGCTGGACTCGGCTTTACACCCAATGCACCTGTGAAGATTTCAAGCAAAGCGAAAAACGCTAACATTCAACACATCAACGTGAGCGTTGAACAAGATCAAAAGGAGCTTAAGTCTGCCTTCGGACGTTAGTCTTCGATAGAATGAATCGTTCAAGGCCCTAAATTTTGGCATTTAATAGCATTGGTGGTCAAGACCGAACCTTCGTCTTTAAGAGGCTTAACGCGCCAACATCCCAAAGCTCTGTTTTTGAAAGGTTGTCAAAACCTAAGAAACAAAGCAACACGGCTAGCTCTCCTCCGCGCCGGTCAGCTTTTGAAAGACTTGAAGACAATAAAAAGCCTCATAGAAAGAGGGAGACAATGCCAAAGGAAGAAAAACTCGACGGGCTAGCAGAAAAAGGTGACATTCGAAGCTCGAATCCTTCAAGGATGAAACACCAAGCAATCTTGGAGGTTGACACAAATGGATCACTAAAAGTAAGAAGGTGCACCATCATCCACACTAGAAGATCTTTATGCCAACAAGCTCGAGAGGACAGCACTGAAGAGGAGGTCCAAGATGTCTTCCACATCACAATCCAAGAAGGTAAAGAAGACGAAATCCCCGAGGAAGATGTCACTGCTGCGCCACTATAGCTCGAAGATAGGAGGCAAGCCATGGTTAATGATCTCAAAGAACTCAACTTAGGCACAAGCGAGAAACCGAAGCCAATCTTTGTAAGTGCACTATTAAGTGCGGGCGAGATAAAAGAGTATTACCAGCTGCTATTAGATTACAAAGACGTCTTTGCTTGGACCTACAAAGAAATGCTTGACCTTGAACCTATCATCGTTGTGCATCATTTTGCAGTCAAGCCCATAATGTGATCGATAAAACAAACTTAAAGGCGTTATCGATCCGAGCTCATCCCTCAAATTGAAGTCGAAATTGACAAGCTAATCGAAGCAGGGTTCATTCGAGAGGTGCAATACCCCAAGTGGATCTCCAACATCGTCATTGCCTTTAAGAAATCTGGACAAATAAGT